ATTCTTCCCCAAAATATCATTGTTATTGTTGTTGTTATTAGTGGAAATCCTCCTCTTTTTGAATCGTCCTATTTCGGTCATCACCATTATGCTAGGGATTAATATATTTACCCCTAACCTAACCTAACCTAACCTAACCTAACCTAACCTATCCTAACCTAACCTATCCTAACCTAACCTAACCTAACCTAACCTAACCTAACCTAACCTAACCTAACCTACCCTTACCTAACCTAACCTAACCAAAATCATGTCATGTTTACCCTTCCAATTTTCTTTTTTTCCCTTTACTAGATTAATCCCAATCCCGTGGCCTGGAATATCCAATTATACTAAGGGATGATTAATTACGAGTCAGCAGTTAGGGTGAAGCAAATGTCAGTGGCGTAGGACCCGTAGGTAAGCGTATAGGGGATAGGTAAGCGGGGAGGTAGGCGTATGGGGGGGGAGTAGGCGTATAGGGGAGGTAGGCGTATAGGGGGAAGGTAGGCGTATAGGGGGTGGGTGGGTGTTGGTAAGGGGTCGTGTGGGTGGTAAGGGGAGGAGGTTAATATGCAGATCACACGCCACTCTCCCTCCTTAGTCCAGCCAAACTTATTATTGGGTTTAACCACGATGAAAGTACTGGGTCTTTTGGTATATTGTTGTTATTGTTTTTGTTATTATTGTTATTATTATTATTATTATTATTATTATTATTATTATTATTATTATTACCACAACTGTTGTTTTACCAATATTATTTCAGTATTGCCGTTTTAATGAGTAGATTTTGTTATGTTGATGAAATAAAAAGTCATTTCCATAAAAAAAATCATGAAGTTATTGTACTATAGTGGCAACATGTTGAATAAAGTCAAAAAATGTGTAATAAAAGATAACAAAGGTATTAATAACAAAAGAAGTAACTAATAAATGGATAAACAAAATATAACAGGTTGAAATAAATGAAATATACTCGCCAAGAAACTTTCTCTTGTTATTTGTAATTCTCAACTAGTTTAAAGAATTTATTATTTACTGAAACTTTAATGTAAACGAGACGAGATTGTGACGAAAAAAGTGGGTTCTCTCGTTGGTACACACACACACAAGGTTGAGGGGTCAGTCCAGGGGTTTTGAGTTGGCCCGGTACTTGTTATGGAAAGAGAGAGAGAGAGAGAGAGAGACGACTATAGCTCCTAAAATCAGATGTTATGCATACAAAAAAAACCCTCTAAGGTGACATTTAAATATTTAAGGTCCCACAGTTTGAACTCATTATGAAGTGACAGTGATTTATGGCAGCAATAACACACTGTTAATATTGACCTTACGCAAGCTTTCTCCAGCACAAAAAAATAGTGTTGTAAGAAATGTAAATGTATCAGTTGGTTTTAGACATTGTTTACGGGTTAATTTACAAGTTTAAGATTGGCATTTTTTTTGGGGGGGGGAGGATAGTGGTACGGGGCAGGGGGTTAGTTTTGGGGAGGGTGGTTAGTGGTACAGGGCAGAAATTGGTTCAGGAAGGGTGGTGAGTACAGGAGAATTGGTTAGTGGTACGGGGGAGGGGTGGTTCGGGGAAGGGGTGGTGAGGTGTTGGTGTGTTCTGCTTTAACGCACGAGATAAGGACCAGAAGGTGGTGTGGGAGGGTAGTGCCTGCCACCCCGGGCCGAGGTTAGTACGGTGGAAAGGCGGCTGTTGGCATGGCTCTGTGGAAGTTCAACAGGTCCTTACTGGTGTCTTATTAAACTGTTGGTTGATACTGAGGTGTTGTGTGTCTTGTGCCATCGTAGGGGACAAGGAAATACACCTCACAATTATACGAAAGAAAGATATAACAAATACACAAAAGGGAAATAACATCACAGGTACAGTTATTTACAACACATACACTACAACATATATTTAGTAACAATTAACCCCGGGGTTAGACCAGACATCCTCAGAGCCGTCCAGCTACCACGAGGCGGTCCACTCATAGATATTTCCCATGTTGTATTTATGATGCTCAAAACAAGTATAAAGGTATATCATTGTCCATACTTTGTTGTTTGTCACTGTAGGAGAAGGTGACAACGACTGTATACTATGGCAGGGTTAACATTTGTGTGGAATTACATCCTGGATATGTTAATTTGTTTTTACGGTCATGTAACACTAATTAATCCAGTATCACTACAGTAGTCGGCATTTTACCTGTTTTGATGCTGTATAGTTATGATTTAACAGGTGAGTGTAGTACAGTATCTGGCCTACATAAGGTGACGATGAATGAAACATTTCCATTTGATTATTAAAACTAATTAATTTCTTACAACTCGTGATAAAATATTGAGTCAAGTTGTGGAAGTGACATTACTTGTGAAAACTATAACATCCTATAGCAGTGTGTGTGTGTGTGTGTGTGTGTGTGTGTGTGTGTGTGTGTGTTGGCGTAAACAGATCAAGTAAAGTTTAAACAAGTTTGGTTTTCATTATTTTTGTCTTACCCAAAATATTCCTCCCCAGTTTCATTTTCTTTTCACCTTCCTTTTCTTTATTCTTGCTCACAAATATCAAATAATCGTCACTCCCTCACTACCGGGTCCATTGATTTTAAAATGTTCCTGGAAGTACCTTTGTCCAATACTTACAAACCTCATCTATTAGTTTTCGGGTCATTTTAAGTGATTTATCGGGTCATAGGTCAAACCACACACACACGTATACAGTATATATATATCGGGGCTGGTAATGGGCTGCTGGTGGAGGTGTGTTGTGTTACCTGGCGAATGTTGGCATCGTTGATTGTCTAATGCATTACCTGAGTCTGAGTATAAGGCCATTTATTGCTGTATCAATCTATCTGCCTGTCTGTTTTCTTCCATCTATTCAATGTTTCAATATCTATCTCCCGATTCTCTCTCTCTCTCTCTCTCTCTCTCATTCTCTATATTTCTCTCTCTTACTTTCTTTCCTTCTCTCAGTTTTAATCTCCATCTCCCCCGCCCCCTCCCCTCCCCCTCCCCCGCCCCCTCCCCCCTGAGGCTGCGGGCGGTGTGCTCGCAACAACAAGTAGCGGCCATCAAGCTAATATGGAAGCCAAACGGCCTTCCATGTATGTGCTTAATGAACAATAAAACCCGCCTGCGTCCTATTAATGTTCTCCTCCTAGCCTAAAATATTTGCTGGGGAGAGTGTGGGTGGGTGGTGGGGGAGGGGGGGATGTGCTAACCTTCCCCTGGAGTAGAGAGAGAGAGAGAGAGAGTAGCGTTAAGATGGGGCAGTGTTCGGATTCTTATAAAAGCATAAGAGTTGTGTTATGACAGACTGCAGTGTATCAGTATTAATGGGGGTTTAATATTGAGGTAATAAACAAGGTTATACAGTGTTAGGTGAAGATGTAACACTTTACAGGTGATGGATGTGTTTTGACAGGTGTAAAGTAGTTGACATGTATAACAGTACCCAGGTAATATTATATACAAAAGTCTTATGGTGAGTATAGGGTGTTTACAGAAGACCCTTGATTATTTATGTGTACAGTGGTCCCTCGAGGAAGGTACACAGTTGAGGAAATCTCTATGATATTCGTTTCTTCATAAACATTTATTTTTAACTCTGGCAGCTGAGAGTTGCAGGTGTTGAATATTGAAAAAGGGACGACGCATCACGGACGGCGGTTTTCACTTGGTTGAAACTGGTCAAACGGTGTGAAGCAACGCTCTCCTTTATCAGTGCCCACACACTGTTGGCCTTCACGGTTCACTTCCTCCACAGAATACACACAATAACTGGGAAAAAAAACGACAAGGGAACACAAACATCAAGGGACTTCGAAAACACTTTGCCAAACCCGTACAGTAAGACCGGGGTGGTGTTGTGGTATCGAATTCGTGGGTTCGTCATCTTTCCCGATCGTGGGTCGTCAGTTTCCTCTGATAGTGGGGTCGTCCTTACCTTCCTCTTGGCCATTGGTCGTCCTTACCTTTCCCTTGGCCATGGGTCGTCCTTACCTTCCCCTTGGCCATTGGTCGTCCTTACCTTCCTCTTGGCCATTGGTCGTCCTTACCTTTCCCTTGGCCGTGGGTCGTCCTCAGCTTCTCCTGATCGTGGGTGCTATATATGACAGGGTATTAAACGTGTAGGTGGTGTATGGGACAGGTATTGAACATGGGGGGTTGTATACGAGACATCCCCATGCATGAGTACTTCCCAAATTAGGAAATGGTGGCTCTGTTCCTGGCTCCTGTGTTGTATTGAGCCAGAGTGTTTAGCTTATCGTTCCTGGCTCCTGTGTTGTATTGAGCCAGAGTGTTTAGCTTATCGTTCCTGGCTCCTGTGTTGTATTGAGCCAGAGTGTTTAGCTTATCGTTCCTGGCTCCTGTGTAGTATTGAGCCAGAATTTTTAGCTTAGTGTCCTGTGCTTACCTCCGCCTACACTGTGCTTGTGTACTATGCTTAGCTGTGATGTATTATTTTCCTGTGTTGAGGATATGGCGCATCTCATAGCTCTGTGGTATATTAAAATGTGTAAGTATAGCCGTAAATTATTCTGTATGTGTACCGAAGAACGTTGATGTATAGTTACTTATATATTGAGCTATAGATTCAACCTGAGCTCTGTTATATTAGCCTTGATTAGCTAAAAAAAAAATGACGCACTTGTACCTTCATATGTGATTTTCGGTTCAAATCCACCTCATTTGTGTACGAAAATTTATCATATTTACAACTCCCGGACGGATAAACTGACAGAACGGACGGATAAATTGACGGGACGGACGGGAATACATGTGTTTCTTTATAACCCACTTCCTATCTCTCGGACAGATGGAGACAGATTGAAAAAGACAGAAAAAACAGTATTATATGTCCAATATATAGCCACAGGTTGAGGTTAGGAGACGCCCCGGCCCCGTCTTACATATGAAATGAAATTCTCTGACATTCACGACAACTTGTATTGAATTTATTACCATATATGTCTTCATCTCCGGTCAACTTCCTTCTGTTGACACTCGTTCTTTAGTTTATGTCTTTAATATTTGGATTCCTGTGTTTTGGTCTCGTAATATTTGGATTCCTGTGTTTTGGTCTCGTAATATTTGGATTCCTGTGTTTTGGTCTAGTAATATTTGGATTCCTGTGTTTTGGTCTCGTAATATTTGGATTCCTGTGTTTTGGTCTAGTAATATTTGGATTCCTGTGTTTTGGTCTAGTAATATTTGGATTCCTGTGTTTTGGTCTCGTAATATTTGGATTCCTGTGTTTTGGTCTAGTAATATTTGGATTCCTGTGTTTTGGTCTCGTAATATTTGGATGCCTGTGTTTTGGTCTAGTAATATTTGGATTCCTGTGTTTTGGTCTCGTAATATTTGGATTCCTGTGTTTTGGTCTCGTAATATTTGGATTCCTGTGTTTTGGTCTAGTAATATTTGGATTCCTGTGTTTTGGTCTCGTAATATTTGGATTCCTGTGTTTTGGTCTAGCAATATTTGGATTCCTGTGTTTTGGTCTCGTAATATTTGGATGCCTGTGTTTTGGTCTAGTAATATTTGGATTCCTGTGTTTTGGTCTCGTAATATTTGGATGCCTGTGTTTTGGTCTCGTAATATTTGGATTCCCGTGTTTTGGTCAAGTAATATTTGGATTCCCGTGTTTTAGTCTGGTAGTATTTGGATTCCTGTGTTTTGGTCTCGTAATATTTGGATTCCTGTGTTTTGGTCTCGTAATATTTGGATTCCTGTGTTTTGGTCTCGTAATATTTGGATTCCTGTGTTTTGGTCTAGTAATATTTGGATTCCTGTGTTTTGGTCTCGTAATATTTGGATTCCTGTGTTTTGGTCTCGAAATATTTGGATTTTTATTTTGTTTACATTCATAACATTTGGATTCCTTTAACTATTGTATTCCTCTTACTGTATGTGAACTCTAGCGGTGTTTATAGTCCCTTAATGTTTACAAGTGTTTACAAGTTGAGTCATGATGTTGAGGTTTGTGTTTATAATCTGACTTGCGATGTTGAAGAAACTCGTATGTCTCTTAAATTCTTAGATTATTTTTTTTTATTCTTATGTTTAAATTCTTAGTATTTTTACATTGGCTTAGGATTTATTTTTATTATTTTTTTATTTTTTTTATTTTAAATACAAATTTGCTCCGATGGTCAAGAGGTGAAATATGGAGAGAAAAAAATGGGTGTAAGAATAACGATGTCTTGTAAATAGTGTGATGGGCGTGGGAACATTGATGTGAGCGTGAGAACATTTCTGCGGGCTTGAGAACAGAATGACGTGGGTGAGAACATTGATGCGGGCGTGAGAACAACTTCCCCGGCGCCTGAGCTGGCCGGAAGACACCCTAAAAGCCTTTCTTGGTCCCGTAACGTGTTGTGTCCGGGTCTTGTGGCGAAAACTTTAATACTTTTTTTGTTTTAATCCGTCGCCTTAAAAATAAAAACAAATTCTCGTCCCTCTAACAACAGCGTGAGTGAGAGACACTATCATTCAGCTTAATATGGTGGCGGGGAAGTGTCGGTTGTACGTGTTAGTGGGAACAAAAGGTTGGGGGGGGGGGGAGGTCTTAACGTACGTAGACATGCCTTGAACAGAGAGGTGAAGAGTATTTAGTACAGGGAGGCGGTGGTGGAGGTATTGGCGAGGTTGAGAATTGTACGCTGGGGACTCACCTCAATGCCTCGTTATTTTCCTGCAGGGTGAACTGGGACCTCCTTCTCTACGACTCCTTCAATGATCTTTATCCTGGAAATTCACTTTGGACGTAAATAGAAGCTATATATTAGGTAATTCTTTTTAATTATTTAGATCTAAACATTAGCCAAAGAGAATTCAAACCTTTTTCTTCTATATCATCTCCAGGAAAATTAATACTGGATCCCACGGGCTGAGTTTTAGTTTAATCAGCGTAATTAATCTGGTGGAGAGTGATGGTCGTGCCCGTCCTGGAAAAAAAGCATGATGGCGGCGCTGTGGTTGGAGAAGGGGAGGGGGGTGGGTGGAGGAGGAGGAGGAAGGGGAATAGTCTGTGTGGTGGTGAGGGAGAAGACGATGTGGTGGAGGAGGAACAGTTGGGGGGGGAAATCGTCCGTGTGGTGGTGAAGGGGGAGGAGGGTGAATCGTCCGTGTGTGAAGGGGAGGAGGGGCGAATCGTCCGTGTGGTGGTGAAGGGGGGAGGGAGGGCGAATCGTCCGTGTGGTGGGTGAAGGGGAGAGGTGAATCGTCCTGTGGTGGTGAAGGGGTGGAGGGGGTGAATCGTCCGTGTGGTGGTGAAGGGGTAGGAGGGGGGTGAATCGTGCGTGTGGTGGTGAAGGGGTAGGAGGTGAATCGTCCGTGTGGTGGTGAAGGGGTAGGAGGGGTGAATGTCCGTGTGGTGGTGAAGGGGTAGGAGGGGTGAATCGTCCGTGTGGTGGGTGAAGGGGGTAGGAGGGGGTGAATCGTCCGTGTGGTGGTGAAGGGAGGAAGTCATGTATCTCTATTTTAACCTCCCAGTGTCCGGCAGTGGGGAGGGGAGCGCCCTGGACCTGCTGGTGGTGGTGGCCAAGGGCGACCTGACGTTGTAGGAGGTAGAGGGAGACCGAACGACTGGCAAACTTAAAGGGAGAGAGTAGTGGACGGCAGAGGGAGAGGAAGAAAAGTTTAGTACTAGCTTTTGGGGGAAAGGAGGGAGAAAGTACTTAATAAAGAGAGAGAGAGAGAGAAAGTTTTCGACATAGATAGGAGGGAGAGAGTACTAGAAAGTCAGGGAGAATTAAACATGAGGACAGAAAGCGAGAGTACTGCATGGAGAAAGAGAGAGAGATTATTAAAGAAAGCAACTGGCGGGTGGTTAGAGTGTGTGTATGGTAGGGAGAAAGATAAACAAGTACAAGACGAGAAGTGTGTGGGGGGGGGTAAGAGTACTATAGGTGGGGGGAGGTGATGATAGTAACATCCTGTGTGGTATGAAGGGAAGAGAAAGGGGAGGATGTTATGCAATAGACGAGGAGTGGTGGTGGTGATGGTGATGGTGGTGGGATGGTGGTGATGGAGGGTGGTTAGTGTTGGTGATAGATGGTGGTGAAGATAATAATGTTGATGGTGACGCGTTGTTTTGGTGTGTGTGTGTGTGTGTGTGTGGTGTGTGTGTGTATATAGTGCTTTGTGTACTGGTGCTGTACGTGTTTCTTTTGTTGTTGTTGATGCTTGTGTTGTTATTAGGTAGGTTAAATAAAACATCATCTATACAATTAATTCTTGTAATTGAACTATCAATAAATACTTTAATTTAGATGTATAATTCTCTATATTTATTCATATCCAGTATACAGTTTTTCTTCTCATTGATTAAATTATTAGATCTAAATTATAATTATTAGTTTTGTATCATTGATGTTATTTATTCAGCTGCTGTTGGTCTAAAAATATTGTGAATGTTATTTTAATGTGTGGGTTTGGTTGTCATGATAACAGCTAAGTAAACACACAAGCCTTGGGTACACCGCCAGAGTAGTGTGTGTGTGTGTGTGTGTGTGTGTGTGTGTGTGTGTGTGTGTGTGTGTGTGTGTGTGTGTGTGTGTGTGTGTGTGTGTGTGATCTCCATATGCTAACTAGACCCAGAAGGACCTTAGGGAGGATATTCCTACCAAAATATGGGTACTATAGCCCTTACTCTCCTTCCTATAGAGCTCCCCCCTTCCCTCCTGAAAGATACCCCAAATAAACTTACAGACAGACGGATGATAACGATTGCAATTTAACACCACCGAGCGGTAAACTATATCATCATCTAAATTAGGAACATTAAAATGGCACCCCAGCTAATTTAACCTCATGATCAAATACCCCGACGCTAACCTAATCTAACCCCCCCCCCCTATCCCCAGGTAACGTTAGGGTGCTAGGGTGCTTAATCATCAGGTGAAATAAGCTGGAGGCGGGGTGTCTAATCTAAACGTGATCCTTGAAATGTGCATAAAAGTTTTTCAATGACATCTGGAGAAGAAGGGAGGGAGGGATAGGAAGGAGACAGGTTGTGGAAGAGAGGGAGAATGAGGAAGAGGAGAAAGAAGGGAAGAAAAGGTCAGAGGGGGAGAAGTGGGAGAAGGAAAAGGGGCAGTAATGTGAGAGGGAGAAAGAAAAGTAGAATGAAAGACAAAGAGGGCAAGATAAAATGAGAAATTAGAGCAAAAGAAAGAAAATCTGTAGTTATTTACGAATAGAAGAGAGAGTGAGTTATTTAAAAAAACGGAAAAGAAAGTAAGAGAAAGTGAGTTAGATTGATTCCTTTCCCTGTACGAAACAACCTTAAAAAGCATGTTTCTTGGCTCAGTGGAGATGAGAAAAATCAAGGCAAGTTTTCAGTCAACATTCTGTCTCTGGTGTGGCCGACAGGAGGGTCACGGCAGGTAACCTCGTCGATTTTTTACTCGTCTTGGGGTAAGAGGATTCATCATTAACTGCCTGTTGGCTCTCCTTCTAAGACCTGCTAGTAGGACCTGCTAGAAAGACCTGGCTATTGGACTTGGTTGTAGGACTTGCTTGTAGGACCTGCTAGAAAGACCTGTTTGTAGGACTTGTTTGTACGATCTGTTTGTAAGACCTGGTTATTGGACTTGGTTGTAAGACCTGCTTGTTTGACCTGCTAGAAACACTTGCTTGTAGGACCTGTTAGAAAGACCTGCTTGTAGAATCTGCTAGAAAGACATGCTTGTAGGATCTAATTACTGTACCTGCTTGTAGAACCTGCTAGTTTGACCAACTTGTAAGACCTCTTTGTATGTTAAGTTCTAAAGACCTCCTTAAGACCTGTTTGCAAGAAAAGTTTTTAAGACCTGCCTATAAAAGCTCGAGTCGTAAAACCTGCTTGTAATGATATCCTATTTGCTCTAAGTTGATCTAACACCCTTGTCAAAATTCACTCGAGGACGTTTCCATATCTTTTACAATAAGATAACAGTATCGAATCGCCTTATAAAAAAATTCACGTAGGATTAGATTCGAATATATCTCGTGTGAAGGGTATGTATGGAAGTCTGAGAGGAAGATATTTTTGAGAAGTATTAAGTAAAAAAAAATACTTTGTAATTTTATGACTTGTTAAGTAATTTAGAATTGATGAGGATTTTATTTTTTTGGAGTTTGTAAGCTTTTATAAACTACAAGAACAAATATGGAGTTATGAGATTCCTTCAGTCACGCAATGCAAAATCTGTCTTCAAACACGCAATACAAACTCTTCCTTCAGTCACGCAATGTAAAATCCACGACCGTAGTGACAAGGCCCAAAAAAAAATCCGGATTAACTGAAGATACAATATCCGGCATCTCTTCAAAAAATCGTGCAAATCGGGGGTTGAAAAATCCGGGGAAAGTATAAAATGATGGTAAGTAGGAGGGCGAGGGATGGTTAATACACCAAGATGAACACAGTGATGAAGTTAGGAGGAAGGAGTGGAAGGGTGGGAAGGGGGGTGGAGGGGAGGGTTGGAAGGGAGATGTGGATGGAGGGAATGGCAGGAAGGGGGTGAATTGGTGGAGGGGAAGAGGAAGGGTGTATAAAGGAAAGGGAGGGAAGGAGGAAAGGGAAATGCATGTAGAAGAAGAAGGAGGAGAAAGAATGAATTGCGAGTAAAGGAAAGAGAAAGGAGAGAGAAAGAATGTGAAGAAAACGAGCAATTTTTTTATTTATTTACATATCTCAGTGTTTGATGATAAGTAGAAGACGTGTTCCTTCCTCACAGTCATCTTCCTTCTCTTCTCTCTCTTCCTCCTCCTCCCCCCTTCTCCTTCATTGAGAGAGAGAGAGAGAGAGAGAGAGAGATCTAATGAAAAAAAGTGCAGAGTCAATCCCATTCAGTAAGGGTGAAGATATGTGTTGAAAGTTTAG